AGTTGAAGGATTGCCTGGTACCAGTCAGTCCAACCCATGATCTTAAATTCTGGCGAAGATCTGGGTCCCATTCATTTGCTACACTGAATAACTGAACACTATGTGGGGGGTGAAATAAATGTGGTGTCCACTGCTGTCTTGTGAGGGAAGTGCAGGAGCTGAGGTTACCTGCTTCTGCTTCCATAGATTGCATAGTGAGTGTAATGGAATAAGATAAAAATCTTAGTCAGAATTTCATTTACCAGAGAATGTGAGTCTGAGCAGCTAATTAAATAAGGACTTTCCAGAGTTGTAGAAAGGGAAATCTGGCCCTTTTAGTGCACAATTCCACAGAGTGTTTTGAAGAGAATTTTGAAGGTCATTGACCTCTCTCTGTTCACAAGGTCTTTCTCAAATCCCATATGTTTCCTGGGTAGATAGACTCCACTTTCCACTGTGAGCACAGAATTATTGTCTACTTTAGAACCTGTAATGTCTCATTTTCCCAAACATCTCCTGCTGCCATCCAGACATTGTATCCATGAGGGGAATTTATGTGAGAGATAAGGACATTTTATGAAACTTACAATGTCCATATGGTTGCTATTATAATCAACATAGATGAGAATTGAAGGATTTGGTAAGCTGTCCACTAAACAAATGACCATTATCAATATGACATAGAAACTTGCCAATCCAACAAGAGTATCCAGCTGGCAGTAATGAATTAAAGTTTAACTCTACTGGACAAAATTTGGACAGGCTATTCCTAGAAGTTATCAATCAGTATATCATGGTGAAGACAGACAAAGGCAAAAAATTCAGTAATGATATTGAGAATACAAAACAGATTCTCAAGAATAAATGTGTGAATGACAAGTATTTATAGTCAGTGTATGGAGTCTCTGAAACATAAATATGAGCATTATTTTTGATGTAGTCAAATTGGATTCCCACAATCTGGCAACAGCCCATTTAAGACATAGAATTACTCTAAATGTGTAGCCAGGAATAACTGGGGAAGGAATTCTGACAACATGTCAAAACTCAACAATACTGGATATCGTTAGATAGGAAGTAGTAGGAAATGCCATTGGATGACCTGAATGTGCTTTGTGATAAGAGGCATTCCATCCTCAAACTGCAAAGTTTCCTGGTTCAAAGGGTCAATAACTAAAGGAAAATGTCCTAGCTCCCGATCCTACAAAGCAGTTACAGTGGGTAATAAACAAAACAGTAATACAGTAATACTCTCTACTGAAAGTGGATCAGAAACAGTGAAGAAGTACTCAACATCCTTATAGGAGTGACTTCTACAGAGTTACCAGGCGTCAGAACAATATAACATGACATCTTCAGAAACACAAGGCCATGAAATGTAAAAGACATCTATATATCTAGTTGAACTTGGGTGGCAATCTTACCTGGTGAAATGCAGCCATGGGCTTGATTCTTTCAATCTCTTGGGTGAGTTATACTTGTGTTCCTTGAGAACCTCAGATTTTCACCACAGACCAATTTGTCAACAACGGTTAATTTTAGTCTCCTAGTGTGTAATTACTTAACATGAATTAAATTTCTCAAGGACTAGTCAATTCTGTTGTAAAATCAACAAATTAATATATAGAATTGGCTCAAGATCTACCAATAAACCATTGTTTTACTTACCTTATGTTTCTGGACCAGAAAAACTGTGAACTGAGCATCAGCATTTCTTCAACTTTTAAAACTGACTCTCTATGACTGATTCAAATATCTTTAATAGGACTGTAGGATCTTGTTTCCCTTTGAGAAAAAGAAATGTAATTGATAATTTGCTATTATATTAGATAAAAAATTTACCACCAAACTTTCTAAATTCCCCTGGGTTCCTTTCTATACACCTCTCTTGATGATCTTCAATCTATCTTTTCTAGAAAGCTCTGTCTCTGTTAGGAACCTGTCTCCAACATCAATGACATAAAAAGTAAGGAAGGATCTTGGATTTTACTCTACTTGTAAACAAAGCATCACATGCCATGGCTTCATATATATTGATAAAAGAAAACTATGATACTGAGTCCAATTCAAGACTTTTTTATTTAAATGGTAAAATCAGTATCTAATGTATTAGCATTTCCCTGTGAAAATTCCCTAAGCTCACATTGCAACTGAGTAATGTGCACAAACCAGGAAGACACCAGTACCACCATGAATAAAAGAGGAGAGTAACTCAGAGCTTTGAAAGATTGTCCCACGTAGAATGAACAGGAAGTCTACCTGCTCAGTGCTCCAAAGAGAGTCAGTATTGCTATCTTACAAGGCTGTAAATACACTGGCACTTTACTTCAAAGGCAGCTTCTTATCCATACTTCCAAAGATTTTTGTCCATGCTAATATTTTAACCTATATTCAGCAACAAAATTTAGCATCCCTAATTACTAATTTATGAAAAAAATGTGAGATTTGTGCAGAATTGTTTGCCAAATTCCCAAGCTCAAGATCTAAGAAACAAGGTATGCCAACATTTGCTCCAAGCTATGAGAACATAGCACTAGTCAAATATGACAGGATTCTCTCTTCTATTCTTGAACATGTGATAACATTGGTAGAGAGGATATGAATATTAAAAAAAAAGTGGTCAAAATGACAGAACCCTAAATTACTAGTCTTCTGGATGTTTGGAAATAATTGTAACAATCAGAAAATGTGGTACACACCAAAGTAAAATTCCAAGAACTGATGCCTGAAAATTTTGATTTGAACGCAGAAGTTTAAAAACGGCATGAAAATGACTTCATGTCTTAAGAATAATTCCAGGTATTTGGAGAAGGGTAGAACTTCCCAAAAGCTATAACCAAGTAAAAAAAATGGTACATCTTAAATGATGCTTGCCCATTGTATCTGTGCAAGGGAATGGAAGGTAATCATACACTCTAAACCAGTCACAGCCTTTGCTAGTTTAGGGAAATACATGAGAGCTAGAAGGGCATTGTAAGTACAAATCAGTAATAAATGTGGGTTTAACTCCAAACCCCTGCCATCTTGATCCACAACCTCAACTTGCAACTGGTGTGCCCTTCAGTCTGGGTGTATCATGAGAATTGCTGAGTCATGGTAATCAAGGAATGCAATTGTTCTACAGAAATAAACTGTGATGAAAGTGAAAGCACACAATGAAGGATTTCCCTGAGTTTGGGAAAGTGGGTCAAATACAATGTAATCTTTTTTTTGGGGGGGGCGGATCTCACCTGTTTTTACAAACAATTCTCTAAGAAGGAGCAACACATAACAAAACAATGTGAAACAAATGTCAACCAACATTTGTTTATAAGTAATCATAATTCCATAACTACAGTGGAATCAATATTTTTTGCACTTCATGGACTCTTGGTTAGAATAAACCCATGAAAAAGAAATAGATGCACAGGAGAAAAACAAGTGCACATTTATTATTGATTCATTTTCTAGTGGGAGAGACCACTGGTGAGGAGATTTCACAGGAATGGTTTTAAATTCCAGCTTATAGCAGAATGTTTTTGCAGAACTGGAAAGGCAAATGCAGAAGATGTCAGAATCTCTAGGTACAAAAGATATGCAAAGCAAGACACTAGGCTAAATAAGCTCCTTAATGATGAAAAATTTTCTGGTATCATTCCCAGCCTCCTAAGATCCTCAAGTTGTATTCAGTGGTTGACTGCGAGTTCTTTGGTAGACAGGAGACCAGTGATTTTGTCATAGAAAAATCTATGCTCTTCTTTTAAATAAGTAATTTGAGAGCAGACAGTGTTCATCATATTGTTCATTCATAATTGTTCTTCAATAGCCCATCACATATTGGATGGTATATTCTGGTCTCCCACATAATTAATTTTAAATAGGCTAAGAGTAATTTGTATTTTATAGTGAAAATCGGAACACTTTTAAATATATATTAACAATGGCTTTTGAGACAATGTCATTTTCTTTCCCAGGAGAAATGTATATTAGTTTTTCTGGTTTCATAAGAAAACACCCCATTAATTCTGGACTCATTAGATGCAAAATCCTTCTACCCAACATGTAAATCAGACAACAGACTTTTTGTGTCTCATTAGTTAGAAATGTAGAGTCTCCCATCCGTCTCAGTGATTGAGCCAGAATTTGCTTTTAACCATGTTTTTTAGGCAATGTCTATGTTGATTAAAGTTTGCAATGTACTAAATGTGTTGTTGCATTTGCAAACTGATCGACACAGTTCACTTCCTCGGGTAAGTAATTTTGATTTTTTAAGGGCATCGTGATTCAAGTCGTAAGGTTTGCCAGGAATCAGAATACATTTTATTTAATATTAGAAGAAGTGAAGCCACCATTACATGGAATCTGTTACATTCTTGATACTGTGTCACCATTTCCAAATCTATTAATTTATTTAACATCTGCTGCACACTCTTAGTTAAGTGCCACTATCTCAAGACGACTTCAGTAACTCCCTCATCTATTCCACACAGCGGAGGTATTCAATGAATAGTGGACATCCAGTAAACCATTCATTACCGTAAATCTCTAAAAATAAAACGCAGATGGCATACTATCTGGAATGCAGTCTGTTTTAATCAGTTAGGAGAAGGTGAGACAGTGCAACTGTCTGAAAAAAGACACCTAGACTCTCAGAAGAGATGCAGGGAAAAGAAAGTTCTGTTCTCAGAGAGGATTCATAATCTGTTGTCTAAAAAGAAAACATTTTAAAAGTGGGCCTTACAAGAGAGGCACGTGTGTCTCGGAGTTTTGTGTGAATGGGGCATGCAGAGATTCTGCACAACTTTGTTGGACTAGGTGAGCATGTAGGACGTCATCAAAGCCACCGCGGGGTGTCTCCAGGAGTTGCGGGACCCTGATCCTTGTTCAGGAAGGCTGGCTTAGCCTAAACAGACTAGGAGGAGCAGCCTGGTGGTGGGTTGCCCGGCCACACCCCCGACCGCTTTCTCCACCCATGACACCGCCTCCTGCCCTGAGCCCAGAGAAGAAGGGTGGGGAGCGAGCGAGAGGGGCGGGAGAGGAACACAGCCCCCCGAAATGTGTAAGAGCAAACAGTGATAGACAGCTAGTTCCGGGTTCCCGCCGCCTGCACTCCGCAAGCTCTTGAGCCCCAGTCTTCAGCCAGGTTCCTCCCGGGAGCCACCAGGGTGCGGGGTGGGTGGCCAGGGACGGGGCCCAGGCGCGCTCGCGCGCACATTCGTGTCTCCAGCGAGTTGGGTTCCGCAACCTGAGCAGGACGGGGCCTCCAGATCTGGGCCTGAGCTTCACGCCCCCGCGGCCTTGTTCGCTCCAGGCTTGGCTAGAAGTCTAACCCAGAAGAACAAGGCCTGTCTGTACTCGGAAAGCAGACACCAGCTGCTGGGGTGGACGCAGATGGAGGGCCTGTCCTGGCCAGCCACATGTAAGTTGTTTCTGAGTTGGAAGGAAAGGAAAGTTCGCGACTGAGAGTTGAAGGCAGATTGCCAACTACCAGGAAAGGACATTGGTTCTGACTTTATTTGTTGATGAGGTTGTTGCCTGGCTGGGGGGAAATGCAACTTTCCCTGCAGCTGGACCTCTAAGTGGTCATCAGAGGCCACCGGGAATGAACAGGCCCTGAGCTGTGATCCCGTTTACCTACTTGAAGTATACATTCTTGGTAGCTGCTGGGAACAGTCTTGTAGTGTTGGAGGAAAACAAAAGAAAACAAAACAAAAAGAAGCAAACAAAACAAAACAAGAAAACATGAGTGTGGAAGCCAAGTACCGTGCAGCTTCCCTGTATGTGGGTGACCTCCACGAAGATGTCACTGAGGATGTGTTATTCAGGAAGTTCAACACAGTGGGACCAGTGTTGTCCATCCGCATCTGCAGGGACCTGGTTTCCCGGCGTTCACTGGGCTATGCCTATGTAAACTTCCTCCAGCTGGATGATGCGCAGAAGGCCCTAGACACCATGAACTTTGACTTGATCAAAGGCAAATCCATCCGTCTCATGTGGTCTCAACGGGATGCATACCTGAGGAAATCGGGAATTGGGAATGTGTTTATCAAGAATCTGGACAGATCTATTGATAACAAAACCTTGTATGAACACTTCTCTCCGTTTGGAAAGATCCTGTCCTCCAAGGTGATGAGCGACGAAGAAGGCTCCAAGGGCTATGGCTTCGTGCACTACCAGGACCAGAGTGCTGCAGACAGGGCCATTGAGGAGATGAATGGGAAGCAGCTGAGGGACTGCGCAGTGTTTGTGGCCAGATTCAAAAGCCGTCAGGATCGTGAGGCTGAGCTCAGAAGCAAACCCAGCGAATTCACTAATGTGTACATCAAAAACTTTGGGGATGATATGGACGATGAGGGACTCAAGGAAGTCTTCAGCAAATATGGCCAAACTTTGAGCGTCAAGGTGATGAAAGATGCCAATGGGAAGTCCAAAGGCTTCGGGTTTGTCAGTTTTTATAGCCATGAGGCTGCCAGAAATGCAATTGAAGAAATGAATGGACAGGATATAAACGGGCAGACAATTTTTGTAGGCAGAGCTCAGAAGAAGGTAGAACGCCAGGCTGAGTTGAAGGAAATGTTTGAACAGATGAAAAAGGACAGAATCCGTGCACGCCATGCAGCGAAGCTCTACATTAAGAACCTGGATGAAACCATCGATGATGAAACACTGCGCAAGGAATTTTCCTGCTTTGGGTCCATTTGCCGAGTTAAGGTGATGCAGGAAGCGGGGCAGAGCAAAGGGTTTGGCTTGATCTGCTTTTTCTCTCCCGAGGCAGCTGCTAAAGCAATGGCTGAGATGAATGGCCGCGTCCTGGGCTCCAAACCCCTCAACATTGCACTGGGCCAGAAGCACTGAAGAAGAACGATCCTACCTCGCCAATCTCAGTAGCAGCTAGGAGAACAATTCTGCTCTCCCCCTGAAGGGTGCTTTAAGGGTAAGCGTCAAAACTTGATGGCTGCTCACTGAATTTGTATACAAAAACATTTCTTGTGTGTGTATGAAAAAGCAAATGTGTGTTAGAAGCTTGGTTTGTTTTGCAGGGTGCATCCTCAAATTAAAAAAAAATGCATATATTTTTTTCTTATTTTCTAATATTCACAACTGTTTAATTGGTTACATTCTTATTATATTTTGAACCAAATGAAACAAATACATGTATTTATTGCATATTTTATTCTTTTGTTTTAATAATGTTGCGAGCTTTAGTTTCTCCTATGAAAAAATGCCCCAAACAAATTTAATGATAATTTATTTTTTACTAAGAGGAAATTTAACATTTTTCATGGGAGTATTTTTCTTTCCTTCTTTCTTTCTTTTTTTTTTTTTGGCAACTCAAAAATTTAGAAATTGCTAGACAGAAATCGGTGAAATACCAAATTTTACTTTTGAATTAACGTTTTTAGTACCAAGCAATAGTTGTAATATACATACATACATACATACATACATACATGCATACACATGTTCTGGAGTTTTGCTTTTCTAATAGTCTACATCAAGATGGTGGTAGAGGAAATTTCTCATTTTTTGGTTACATTTTCTGTGTCTGTAATCTGAGTGTTTGTTTTCTTACTATTTAATTGTACTTATATAGTAATGATTTACTTTTTATATTTCCTCATGTTATAAACCTGTATCTCTGCAGTTGATGGACACATAATTTCATCTTGAATCGCATTACACGCTGCAGTTCATCGTGATGCATTTTTAGGTTTTCATTAGATGCTTATGCTATGAAAGTCGTATCTATGCAATTCAGAAACTCCAAAGAAAGTCAAACTTTAAAAAAATCCTGTTATATTAATCTATCCCAGAGTTCAGAAAACAAGTGCCTTATTTTATAAACTTCCTCTCTCTTTATTAGACTGTGAGGGCTCTGTTAACTTGTGGGTTTTCCTTGGGCCTTGGTTGGTATTCTGACAAAGTGAAGTTATGTCACTTGATCTGTTTTTAGCATGTGTTTAATTTTGATGCCCATCCCATATGACTTCTCTCTTCTATCCATCAACATTACTTAGCTCATTTTTAGACATTTTTACAAAGGAATTGCAATATTAGCTTTACATTTTTACTACCTCAAAACCATTTGAAATAAAAGGTAAGAGTTATTTATTTGGAATTTACTCAGTACTTAAAAATGTTATCCACTCATACCAAAGGTGTGAAAAGCTCTGTTTTTACTGTTGTCTTTTGTTTTTCAATTTTCTTTCTTGATTTTTTTGTTCTTTTTCTGTTTTGGATTATTTAGTTATTTCTTATTACCATTTATTACAACCTTTTACTTCATATAATAGTACATATTTTCCATTGACAATATTTTATGAATGAGAAAAATCTCATTTTGTTTCTATAAATCATATATATATATATATATTTATATTCTTTGCACATTTTCTAATCTGAATGAGGAAAAATTGAGAATAAAAAGTAATAAAAGAATAAAAGTAATAAAACTATTGCAGAAGCACATTCTGCAAAAATTCACTGTTTATTTTCCCTAACATTTTATGTACATAATAAAAGATAATTTTGAAAAGGTAACATGAACAATTTTGTTTGAATTTACTCTTTTTGATTTGATGTTATGGGATGATAAATTTCAAAAAACTCAAAAAGTTATTTACGTATCATTTTGGTGGTTTTAACTTTAGCCGATGATATTGTCATGATGACTAAATTCTTGATAAGTGTATATGGTGCAGCACTGTTTTTCCTCTTGGTTTTGTCTTCTGCCAAAATATTCTTCCCCACTAGTACTGAAATTCTTCCAATTTGTTTCTAAAACAAATTCTAATTAATGATTTAAAATCAATTTAAATGTTATTTTGATCCATTTTCCAATTTCCTTACACAAATTTCATAACAATTACATTCCATTGTAACTATAGGTAAATGCATGTTTCTATATTATCCAAGAACCTAAGTATTTTGCCAGCCTCTGGCAGGTTCAATATGGTATATCAAAAATACACACTATTCTCTATTTTACTATTTCAATAGCTTCTTTTTTATTGCCAAAGTTCTACCTTGTGTCTTGTATTTATTACCATTAATATTTTCATACTTGTAAATTAATGTTTCAAATACCTGAGATAATTTTCTCCTGAATAATTTGTATTTACATGATTTTGCTTCACATCAAAGATATTTTAAAGTTACCTGTTTAATGTTTTCACTTTGTTTATAGTTTTAAAATCTATTCCAATGTGAAATTTTAAACAATTTTTTCAGCATTTCATTTAGATGGCATTTTTCTTGTGATTTATTTTGAACACCTTAAAATGCTTGCATACTCACATATACATATATACATATATATATACATATAATATATGTATATGAAATTTAAACAGGGAGGCTGGTAGACACAATCTGTGTTGTCTTCTATTAGCACATATGGTTCATATTATCAATAACTTCTTTATAAACAAAACTTGTTTATATTTTGTGTAAAGAGTGGACTTTAGCTATGTCTTGCTTTTAGGTCTTTAAACAGCCTACACTGTTATACTGTGTCAGTGAATATTAGTGCATATGCCCTCTCAGATGCATTGGCTTGCAGAATCACTACATTGAGAAGTATTTTTTATGTCAGAAGCAGAGTTGGTAAGATCCCAGGACTAGACAGGATATAAGTGTGTCAGGTTATGATGAAGCTTCTGAATTACTTTATCTGTGAAAGTATTCAAATATTTGAACAATAATTGATAAACCTAATATGTAGCTTACTTCCTTCTTATGTGCACAAGTACTTGGTAAGCACTTTATCAGGTGTGCAGACGTATTCTTGTCTCAGCTAAATAATGCAATATCTTAATGCCTTAGTAGAAATTGCTCATTTCCAGTATTTACCATAAAATTTGTCAGTGCATTCCCTTCATTATTTAAATTTTAATCATTCTAAATATGTGTGTGTATATGTTTTCCTTCAATAGCATTACATCATCCTACTTAGCAATGGGAGTTCATTTTTTCAGGATAATTAAAAAATGTACCTAAGTGCCTTGAAGAAGAAAGAGATAAATAGAAGCAAACTCAGATAGAGATGCCTTCAGTCAGTCTCTCCAATCTCTTGTATGGATGACTGCTCTTTACAGATGATGTAGCACATATGTACCTTGCTCCAGTTTTTGAAGTTGTTAAATAGAAATTGTTAAAATATATTTTAATGCCCTCAATATTCTTTGAAACCTGAAGAGAAGATGCTAAATAAAATCTAGCATGTCAATGATGTATATGTCTGAAATTATTTTTATTCACTTTAATTTTCTGTTTCTTAGTGTAAGTATTTTTGTTTTGTGTTTCTAAAGGTTCATAAACATGTGACCTGAAATTTGTCTCTGAAGTTATTCACAATTAAAAGATCAGGAATTCAAAAGCAGTTCTAATGTGGAGCAAGTTTTCATGAGAAATAATTGACCATTACATTAGTTGAGAAAATGACATAAACACAGTACTCTGTGTATGAAATTGTCAACGTATAATAATAAAAAATGTCAAAAATACATGTTACTTTATAAATCAGAGTTTGACAGGCCACATTTAGTGATGGCATTCTTACTGACAGAGGTCAAAAGTAGCCTACTATTACAAGAGGAGAGGGAAAATAAATATGTCCCTCCTCTGTTCCCTTCCTTCCTCTCCTTTGAATTCATTAGCCTCCAACCTTCAGCCATGGGGGCTTCACTTGAGGGAGCTTGTCTACTTTTTATCATCACCTACAGACATGGCTTTGGACCAGAAAGGTGAGATCAGAGTTTTGTTCTTAATGCCTTTGGAGAATAATTTTAGCACATAAGTGCTTCAAGGAAACCCTGAAAGCCATATCCCAACTATAACAATTAAAAATATGAAGTCTATGCTACACAACTGTCTATCTGCTTAAGGGGCCCCCTGGTAGTAGGATCAGAATCCATCCTTGGTGCATGAGCTGGCCAACTCATTTTTGGAGCCAACTTCTATAATGGGACACGTCGCACAGCCTTGAGGCAGGGGGAGGGTCTTGGACAAGCCTCTAATAATGTACCACCCCATGGGAGGACTTACCTTCTATCAGGAGGGAATGGGGGTTGGGTTGGGAGGGGGAGGCTGGAGGAATAAGAGGAGGGAAGAGGGGGATCTTTGGTGTATAAAATGAATACAAGTTTTCTTAATAAAAAATAATACAACCAAAAAATAAAAAATAAAAATATGAAGTCCATGCAAAATGTTAGGTGTTTAGGATTAGTTTTTATGTATTTCATTTTGGAATACAGCTCATAATATGATTTAACAAAACATAAAATGATTACATTTTTGACTTTTATGATTATATTTTGGCTCTTACAAACAGAAAAAAACAACTCAAACTGAAAAAACACATTGTTTTCTAAAATTCTCAGAGTTAAGGATCCTCAGCCATCTTGGGTCAGGAATTTTGCATCTCTTTGATGGATTCTTCTGGTTCTTCCCTTTCAGTGCCTTGGATCATCAATAGTCAGGTGTTTGGTGGTTATGGTCAACCCTGTCTACACACAGACCCAGCGGTAATCATGAGGTGAAGCTACTTTCACAAACCTTTCCTCTCAGTTCTCAATATTTGTTCAGAGATTCACAAAGATCTACCAGTGTCATTGTAGAAGATATCAATTTCCACATGTTCTGTGGAATGTTGTTTTGATAGGAAGAAACAGGATCAAAATAGATAAAAAGCAGACCAAACAAAACCTAGGATGCTTTCCATTATCTATATGGAAATTAGAATTTTATCTTCTAAAACTACGTATAGATAGTTCTTTTAGTCAGTTTATAATTGGCTTTTTTGTTGTTTTTACAAATAGTATGCAAAACTAACGCAAATGATTTCCTCATACTTAATTTTGCATAATTATTGTGGGAACTAAATTATGCATATTTGTATCAGTAGTAAGTAAAGTTAAATTGGTTTTTATTTAGTAAAAGCATTCATGTTATCATATGACAGAATGCCTATTAGATCTAAGTTGTGAACATACTGAAAATTACAACTGAGAAGATTCAATTCATTTTAGTCACCTGCATTGCCAACATAAATAATTGTCAAAGGATTAGAAATGGTCAGGACTGACTGCATACAAATCCCTACTGTTGCTTAGTTGAATATTTTGTTCAGAGCAGCCTCAGTCTAGCACATATGCACACTCATTAATATCTCACAATTAAACAACCAGCAGAAAGGAATCTTTAATGTACTCTGTAAATCAATCATTGTTATACACTTCTTAATAAATTTAAAAAGAGCAGTTCCTACTGGCAAACATTAAGAAAATTCTAGAAACTTGCTCCTGTACAAAATAGATAAGGCTCTATGTTCAGTAAGGTCAGAATAACAAATACACTTGGCTTGCGGTTGTTAAGGTCGATTATGTTTCAAGTTTTCTAAGCATTCATTAAAGCTTTCACTCTTCATTAGTTTTTCTTCCTGGTCATATAGCCTAGTGTAGGATTAATAAATTGACTATCCACCAAGAGAAGAAAAATTATCTTTAGTGTCATTCTTTGGTACAGAGAGAGAAACTTAGCTTCTGAAGGATATTGTGAGTTTCAAACAGCTGTTACAACAGACTTCGATAACTCACGTGTGTTTACCTCACTTGGCCATTAAGAAAATTCCCAATCTGAAGTGCAGTCATGTTCTAACAGTACATTTTTGAGTTCCAAATACAATGTCACCAAAATCTTACTCTTTGAAGTTTTTGCCTTCAGGAAAGATTAGTTCGGTCTCACTTGTGTTTGTTTTTCAAATCACTATTGCCACTGGGATTGTCATGTCATGAGCACTCTCAGTTGGCAGCCTGCGGTTCATCATAATTTGCACCGTTTCATCTGGGAATGAATGTCAAAAGCACACTAATGTATGATAATTTCTGAGTTATAACCACACTTAATTCATTTTCAGTAAATAAAGAGTTTATAATAACATTTCCAACTTACCTTATTCAAGGAAATGACTCAAATTTTTGGAAGTCAAGTTTTGAAATTTCATGTACACATCTATAACTTAACAATTTTACTGATTTACTGTGGGAAGAATTATAAATTTCAATCTACTCTACTACAGTTTATTACTATATTCACTATCACTTTATTCATGATACTTACAGAACTGGCATTATATTATGAAGACTTCAGCTGGCAAGCATTCTGTATTGGTGATCTGCAGAAATAACTGTTTTATGTTTCTCTTTGTTTCAATTTTAATTAGGATTATATCAGGATTTACAAACTTAATAATGCTACACTCTTCCCTAAAACTCTCCTGTGACATTGTATTGCTCTTACATAAAGTGTAGTTCTTACTAAGGTAAAAGGTGCTTGGTTCTTTAATTCTCATTTATCTTTTAATCCTGTTTGTTGTTTTAATGCTAGTTGAATTGTTCAACATCCTGAAATCAAACTGGTTCTCTCTCTCTCTCTCTCTCTCTCTCTCTCTCTCTCTCTCTCTCTCTCCCCCTCCCCATCTGTGTTTTAAAGGGAAATATTTCTGGTCTCAGAGCTCAAAGATTTAACTTTTTTTCTTTTTTAAAACATTTTTATTGCTTCTTTGTGCATTCCACATCATGCATCCTGATCTCATTTATCTCCTTGTCCCTTCATAGCTGCCTTTTGCTCTTGCAACCTCTCCCACAAAACAAAATAAACTTTAAAAGAAAAACAAAATCAAAAGGCAAAAACAGAAATAAACAAACAACAACAAAGACAACAAAAAGTCCCATCATGGAAGCTGTAAGGTGACACAGTGAGTCACACAATATACCCTTTAGTTCATACATCTTTTCTTTTAAGTGTTCATGGCAATGATTCATTGGTCTGGTTTGAAGCCTCTGGCTTCTGCTACATCTTTGGTCCGGGGCCCTCAGTGGGACTCCTCTTGGATATCCTATTGTTTTCTTATGCCATGGAGATTCTGCAGCTTTAAATCTGCAAGACAGGCCTCTTCTAAGCTCCAACAGTTCATAGATAAAGTTAATGTCGGCATGGGCCAACTCATATCTGTTTCTGGGCTTGAGTGGTAGCTTAGTTGATCAGCCCCTCACCTTTCCCTCGTGCCAACCACCAGGGCAAGCTCTCCAGCACTGCCCCAGCTAGCTCTTCCACGATAGCAAGGAACAAGGAATATGGCCATTAACCCTGCTCTCATGCTTTAGGACCAGCTCATCTGCACCCATACCACCATAGCCAGCTCTATTAGTGCTGCAGTTGGAGAGGTGAAAGGCCAGCTTTCATGCTCTCATGCCTGTGAGGCCAGCTCTCCCTCCTGCCACAGGTGGCAAGGGTCAGGAATGGGGAAGGCATCTTTCCCTCACCCATGCTATATAGCTCATGAGTTGAGGCTGAGGTTAGCTCTCTTACAGCCATGCCCGCAGAGTCTGCTCACCTGTACCTCTGTGTTGTCCAGGCAAGGTGCAGGGCCCACTTTCCCAAGTGCTGCAGCCAATAATCTTATGTAGTAATCTTATAAACATGTTGATTGATTAACTGACATATTTTCACCAAGTTTATGATTTTTTTAAAAGAATCTGGATAGAAACCCAGGAAGAATATCATTACAGAATTATTTTATAATTTCTTACATAACCCCAAACACACAAAAAATCTGTTAAGCATAGTATTCATATCTATTCATAAAGGAGAACCTGGAAAGCTCAACATATGAAAAATGAAAAAGTTCACACATGTGGTTGACAGGAAAATCCATGATCCCAGAAGGAAAGTTTCCCCATATTTTAAGGAATATGTAAAAGGAGAGATATTTGTGAAAATGTAGGCTCTGAGCTCTGAATAAGAGTAAACCAAAGTCGACAGACAGGAAAGGCTGTCCAGAGCATTCGAGATCAAGATTTCTGAGAGTTCAACTATGGCAAAACTTCATTTTTGAAAGAAACACATATGCAGGAGAAATTTAGGTAAACATAATACAAATTGACAAAACGTAGGAGTATTAGAACAAAGGAAGAAAAATTACAGGTAAATTGAGGGAGAGTGATAAAAAAGGTAAATATCAGAAACCATAAGGTTGCGTTTTTAGTTTTCTTGTATCATTCTAGGACAGAAGATCTTCAACCCTCAAACTATAGTATCCATCCTACTTTGTCCTTCCTTTGAATTAGAACTAGAAAGACATTCACCTGCAAGTAGTATTTACATGACTTTCAGCCTCATGCCTGATAAAACTATGTAGATATAAATATAGTAGTACTGGTATTAGTTCCT